GAAACACTTCATCAATTGGAAGATTGTCTTTTGCTTAATGGAAAATTATTAAAAGATTTTTCAAATATGCTGATTTCTTTACCAAGATCTTTGAATATTGATTATTATAGTGATAATTTGAGTCAATTAATTCTTGAAGAAAGGTCATATAATATTGCTCAGCTTAGGGATGATATTACACAAAATATTTTTCTGTTGAATGTTGATCAAAGTAATATATATGAGGCTATTATACATACAATTGCATGTGCAGATGGATGTTTCTTTATAGATGGTTCAGGTGGTACTGAAAAGACTTTTTTTTATAATGTTTTGCTGTCAACTGTTAGATCATCTGATGAAATTGCTGTAACAGTAGCATCATCTAGAATTGCTCTCTTTTGATAATAGATGGTAGAACTACATATAGCTGATTCAAGATTTCATTTAATATTAATGAATCTTCAATATGTAACATTTTATAAAACAGTAAAAAAGCCTGTCTAACTATTTTAACAAAGCTTTTCATCTGAGACAAAATCCCAATAATTCATAAATTTGCATTTAAAGTACTAGATCAGACATTTTATGATATCACCCAAGTTGATAAGCCTTTTAGAAGTAAAGTCTTTGTATTTAAAGGTAATTTTCATCAGATGTTTCCTGTGATATTGCATGTATCATATGCTGAAGTTGTCTCATTAAGTCTAAGTCATTTATCTTTATGGAATCACATGAAAGTGATGAAGTTGATAATTAATATAAGATTTCATTAGTTTGATGACCCTAGTGAGAACTAACGGTAAAGCATTTTTGCTAACTTTCTTTTACAGATTAGTGATGATAAGTATCCTATTATTCTAGATACAGAAGATGTAGTTGAGTTTCCTTCTACTATGGTAATTCTTAGAGATGAATTATCAGATTTTATTAATTTTGTTTATTCAAATTTAATTGAAAATTCTGAAAGTGTGGATTATATAGTTGGTAGAGCTATTTTGACTCTGAAAAATAATGATGTTGAACATATCTCAACCTTAATAATAAATCAATATTCAGGTGAATTTCATATATATTTTAGTACAGACTCTGTGAATTTAACAGATAGTAATTTAGATCAGCCTCAACTATATGCTTCAGAATTTTTAAGATCATTGAAAATTTCTGGCCTTCCTCCTGATGATTTGAGATTAAAAGTGAAAGTTTTGATCATATTGCTACAAAATTTAAATCCTTTAAAGGGTCTTTGCAATAGGACACGATTAATTTATCATGACCTTTATAGTAAAGTAATTAATGTTGAAATTATTACAGGTCTACAAGTGGGTAGGTGTATCTTCATACCAAGGATTTTACTAACACCTTCAGATACCAGTTTACCCTTTGTCTTAAGACAGCATCAATTTCTAATACGTGTTACATTTTCTATTACAGTCAATAAATCTTAAGGCTAAACATTAAATCATATGGGTCATTATCTACCATAGCCAGTTTTTTCACATGGTCAGTTATATGTTGTCTTATCAAGAATTACTTCAAATCAATGCATCAAAGTTCTTTTCAATCATGACCGGCAATACCAAATATAAAATATTATATACTAAAATATTTCAATAGTTTTTTATTATATGGAGGGTGGTCAGTAGAAAAGGGAGAAATTCACTTTTTAGTCAAAAATTTTTTTATTGGTTCACTCTGCTGATCATGGTCATGTAAACAAAACTAGCTTAATAACTAAAATTACTCAAAATTTATAGATTTCCCCCTTTTCTATTGACCGCCCCCATATGTTTATTTATTGTTACTTCATTAATAAATAAAGGTATAACTTACAGTATATTTTACCTTTGATTTTTTAAAAAACAATTGAACACTATATTACTATAAATAGAACGCATATAGATTGATAAAGCATGTATATTTATTGTATTATATATATATGTAAAATCTAACATATATTTAGCTGATCTTTTACATTATACACTCTTTGAAATATTACAAAATAACAGGCTGACAGCTAGTATAACTATAAAAAAAATGTAATAAAAAATTTTAATAATTTTTATTATTTATATAATCTAAACTATCAAAAATAATATTAAAATATAATATTTTAAGTATTTAATATAAAATCATTTTAGAATTTAAATTAGGTTATAAATTTCAAAGGTTTTAATTTAAAATTTAAGTATTTTATTTAGAATAAAAAAGTATATATAATTTATATTTATAATTTTAATCAATTAATTTCTATATAAATTATAATATATACAAATCAATTTATTAATATATCATCTTAATTTTTATTTCAAAAAAATAAAGAAAACTAATAAAAAAATTATTTGAAACTACTATTTTAAAGAATGATAAAAAGAAAAAATAGCTATATTTTATTTATCAGAAATGCAAAAATAAAATATTATAAAGCATTATAAGTAAACAAAAAGTGTTATTACTTAAGAATATCTTTAGTTAGATTATAAAATTAATACTAATTATTTAGAAAAATCAGTAAATATAAATAATAATATTAGAATAGTAATGAAATATATTACTATAAAGTATCAATTATCTTTAAAATAATTAGTTATTATTTTTATTATTTTTGATTAACAATTATTAAATATTTTTTAAAATTATGTATTTTTAAAATATATTTTATAAATTTAAATTAAAATTGAAATATAAATAAAGAAAAAAACAAAAAATTGATATGCAATTAGAAAATAAAATTTTAAATAATTCAGATTAATCTGAAAATTTTCAGTTCAGATCAACTTCAATTTAGTTTCAAATTGCAAAAAAAATAATCCAAAAATTTTTAATAGTGTTTCAAATGAATGATAAAATATTATTTATTTAGAATAATTCAAATTATTGCTTTAAAAGAATAATAAATATCATTTATTAGAATGATAAAATTATTATTCTAAATGAATGATAAAATATTGTTTGATTAGAATAATTCAAATTATTATTTCAAAAGAATGATAAAATATTGTTTATTTAGAATAATTGATATTTTTATTTTAAACAAATGATAAAATATTATTCAATTAAAATGATTCAAATTATCATTCTAAATAAATAATAAAAGAATTGTTCATTTAATATGATTAATATTATCATTTCAAAAAAATGATAAAATATTATTTTATTTGAAATAATAAAATTATTGTTTCAAATGAATAATAAATATTGTTCAATTAAAATAATAAAATCATTTTAAACAAACTAAACTTTTAAATTAATCTAAAATTTTTAGATTATTACTGATTTACATTTCAATTTAGATTCAAATTGGTATTTTTAAGATTAATAATCTAAATTAAACTGAACTGAAATTTCAGTTCAGATTTGGATTAGCCTATAAATTAGACTAAATCTAACTATTCAGAGTATTATTAGAGAAGCAATAATTATGATTAGTCATAATCAATCATAATTGTAACTGATATTGATTAGTTAAAAACTTCTAATTAACTGATTAATTGATGATATTAACCAATTTAACTGAATGATTTGAGACTAAATAATCATATTTTAAATAGTAAAAATAACTTTATATTAAATTAACAAAATTAACATTTTTTATTTTAATTATATATAAATTAAAATTTTAAAATTTTTAAAAAAAAAAAATTAAAGTTTGTGATAATATTGCATTATTAAATAAAAATGACAAAGTAGTTTAAAAAATACTATATTAGAATTGTTAAAATAAAAATAAAAATTATAATATTGACTAAATTTAAACTTTTATTAAATCAAAACTGCTTAATTATATGAGTTCTTTGCAATAGAAAAGGAGAAAACTATCAAAAAAAATTTTTTTTGCTTTATAAGCTAAATATTATTTTTTTTAATAAAATAAGTCCAGATTTAACATTAATTCAAAAAAAATTTTTTTGGTAGTTTTCTTCCTTTTTATTGTAAAGAACTCATATTATTATTAACTGATTAGTCAAATGATCAGTTAAAATTAAATCCCTAATCTTATTTCACCTTTTTTTAAATTCATCAAAATATATAGTATTAAGAGATTTAAAAAAAAATAAAATTATACCATTTGATGTTTTGCAATAAAAAATTGCAGGTTAACCTTACTAGAATTGTATAAAACTATTTTACTCAAATTTTTTACTTATTCTATAAATACCTTTTATATCAATTTTATATTTTAGCATAAAGGTAATATAAAGATCTAAAAAATCTTTAACTGGTTAATAACCAGTTAAAATATTTCTTAACCGGTTAATTAACCGGTTAAAATTACCTTTGGCCTGTTCTATGAATTTGACCAGAGTTAGCAAATATTATTGCAATTATTGCAATTATAATTTTGGCCGATAATGAATTTCGACCGGAGTTACAGCTAATTTCATAAGTCACGGGACAGCCGATAATATCCGAGACTTTTCCGAGAAAATTTACAAGAGAAAAATTATGTCGCTATATTCGGAACACCGAACTTCAAAAAATTCTATACCGAGTTTACCGAGTTTTTTTTTTTATCGATCTGCAAAATGATCGTCCGTCCCGTGAATTTTGAAATTAGCCATTTTTAACTGGAGAATGACGCATTCCAATAAATAAGGAATGGATAAAGAGCAATCTCGTGAAAGATCCGGGAGAATACGCATTCCAGGTTCGATGAAATAGAAAAACTCACGAAGAAAAAAAATTATGCATAATAAATAAGCGTCTACTTATTTTCTGGATTTATAGGTGAACGGAGTAGGTACTATTGACTTTGTTTACGTCAATTTAAATTATTATAATATTTTATAACAAGCTAAATTCTATATAAAAACTCTTATTATTAAATACTACTGAAAGATACAATCCAAGAAGCATTGTATTTTTAGAAATATACCTCACAAAATCTTTATTACCAATTTAGAGATATCATTTATTAAATAAATATTAATTGAATAATGAATAAAAAAAAAAAAATAATGAAAATACAAGTGTTCTTTAAAAATTTAAATTTGAAATTTTACAGCGCTATTTGTAATAATTTATTGATTTCTTTTCATTTGTTCTTCTCCCTTTACTCTTGTAGCATAACCCTGAGCTTCCATTTGTTCGTCTTTAACAGCACCACCAACATTTTCTTTAATGATGCCTTTAACTTTATCACCAGCACCTGATACGTAATCAGAAGCTTTTGCTGCTTCTAGTTCAGCATTACCATCACGACGTTGTTCGGCACCAGACTTTTCAAGATCAGTATACCCGAGAGTAGATCCGACCATTTCTTTTACAGTTCCAACTGTAGCATTATAATTTCCAGTAACTTTTGAAGGAGCGTTACTGGTTTTGACGGCTGCTTCATGTTCAGAACTACCAAGCTCTTGGGCTGCTATTCCTTCAGCTTTGAGCTGTTCATTGCCAGTTAGGTTACCAACTACATTTTTAACAAATTTGTTAATGTGATCCGATTTTTACAAAATAATTTTTTATTCAAACTTATTTTTACCTTGTTCTTTAGCAGTGCCAGAGTAGTAGTTAAGGTTAGCGTTAACTTTGCTTGGTTCAGACATTTTGATTTATACGATTTTGTGATATGAAAGAATTTTGAATTGATGATGAGAGGAGAAAAACGCGAGTTTATATAATCGTGGAAACAAATGCCAAGAGCAAAACTAGAGATGTCAAGTTTACGTCATAATTATTTAATTGTCATTGAGACGTCATTTATAAGAAGTATACATCATAATTAAGTCATTGGCGATCTGTACATTCTGTGACGTATAGCGCCAGCCGGCTGATCCACCACGGGCACGACATAAATTCGGCGAACGTTTGATAGTATTGTATTTCTCCTGAAATTCTTTTCTAAATTTTGAATTATGAAAAAGTATTCCCGATCTTTTTTTATAGAACCATTTTTTAAGTTACAAAGAAAATATCGTAGGTGATCCTCGAGCAAAGAAAAATTTTCGCCTGCGGTGCATGTGATGATCATTTGACAGAAAGTATTTTATATAGTAAAATGTGGAATTTTCAAGTTTTATTAATAATATAAGAAATTTAAAATTTAAAAGCGATATAAAATTCCTTAAATTAATGCTACTTGCCAACGTTGATTTAAAAATCATAAATAATAAAATTGCCTCATAAATTACGCAAATTATAGTCAAATGCACGAATCCGTATGCTCAGACTGCAAAAAAAAAAAAATGAAAACAAATGGTTATACAACTTTAATTTATTATAAAAATGATTTTGTTCTGCAATCGCAAATAAGTTTTAAAGATATTGTATATTTTTTCTACGAGAAACCATTGCTATCATGTCTAATAATATCTTTGGAATAGCGTCATTTGTCTGCAAATGGTCTGGTGCTCATTCTGAACCACCAATTTTTTACCACTTGGGAGTATCTTGAATTTCACGTATTTAACGATCACGAGGATTTAGCCAATTTAAGGTAAATCTTCTATTGCTTTTTATCGAGGACGCAAATTTATCTATATCCGTGGGAAACAAGAAGTAATTTCCGAAACTGTAGTAATTATAATAAGCTATTATTAATTCTTATAGAACATTTGCGTGACCATACCAAAACAAAAGCCCTTTAAGGTGGACTTAAAAAAACTGTTTTTACTACTTTAAAAATGATCACATTGACCTTATTATTTCTTTCGTTTAGTGCCCATTTTGCAATGATTCGGTTCGATTTGGAACCATTGATAAACTAAATGAACACTTGATAACATTATGGATTATACAGGCGTAGTTGATATGACGAACTAGGAAGAAGGTACTCTTTCCAAGATATTGCTTTCTACCTCATAAAAAATTATGTTATTTCTTATTTAACAAGTTATATCTAAGACACGTCTTAATATTTCTTTCGTTGTCAAAAAAAAAAAAATTAATCAAGGCGATGAGTTTGAAGATCACAAATTATACGTTTTTCAACAGCCTGTTTACACATTGGTGTCATTTAATGCCAGCTACATTCAACTTTTAAGAGCAACGTCCTGTTTTAGTCCTTTCCCTTTGTTGAACCTTTTTATTCCAACTTAGTTTAAATAAGCGCATCTCAGGTATTTCATAAATTTTGATTCCTTCTAAATCTTGAGCTTTTTCTTCGATTTTAGCGTGCACTTTTCGATCTCTGCTGCTGTCCAGAAGCCTTAAATTGATCAGATACATGTAATGCTTTATTGTATTCTTGTAAAAGACAATTGTTCCATTCGGTTAATATGTCACAGACATTATCAATTGCGTCTCGATGACTTCGTTATAACACATGGTCTTTTGTATTATTATCTACAGGATTTTTAGAAAAATCAAAATCATTCGCGCTGAATTAGAAATATTCACTTCTTTGAGAATGATAATATTGTTCTCATCTTTAATTTCTTTCTCCCATGTGGTTTTTAAAATTTTTCCAAAAGGCGTTTCTTCCCCTTTCAATTTATATAGAATCACTTTCGGGGTCTACATTAATCCGACAAGCTCGATAATTTTTGACATTTTTGTTTTTTTGTAAAACGGTTGAAGGAAAGAAAATTATAAAATGAAAGAGGAGCAGGAGGAGTGATCGGAAAGGGAAAATTTTCTAACTTTTAACCAGGTCCTTAATGATCTATCACTTCGTCATCCTTTTAAACTGATATTAGGTTTCTTCTATAATTAAGTTGTCGTGATCTTAAAAAATAACCTTCTGATTTTGAAGATGAAGAATTTTGATCACTTTTTTTTTTTTTTTTTTTTTTTTTTTTTTTTACAAAAGCTAATCCGATTTTACAATTTTTTTTTAAAAAAAAACTGCGCCATTTAACATGACGAATTAAATTGTGAAGATATTCCAAAAAATATTTGTCACATTACAATCGCCCGACACAATAATTTAAATAATGAAAAAAGTACCGAAAGACCTAATTTCAATGAACATTGTATACTTAAAATAAAACATGCCATACTGAAATTTTAAAGCATCAAGGATGGTCCAAAAAATATTATTTTAATTGTATTAGCATAGTTTCTAAAATAATTAAAAAATTTTTTTTTTCAACTGACCAGATATATTTCCAAGGATAGTGTATGATATAAGGTTTTAGAATCATAAGATTAATGCATGCTGACTTTTGACAAAATTGATATTCACCCATAAATATTCAAATCTGCGCGATAAAAAAAAAAAATAATGAATAATAATATTTAATTTGACAAATTTTTTAAATATGCAAAAAAAAAAAAAAAAATAAAGTAAAGAATAAAAAATTCTTTATAAAACAAACAATTCAAATAAGATATACCTTCATGAAATTAATTCATCATTTAGGATTCTGGAAGATCAAAAGGTCATCTGGGTTCAGGAATTTTTTAACAAATTAAAAATTTTTATTGCATTTTAGTATTTGATGTTATTAGATTAAATTAGAATACATGAGCTCTTAAATTTGATCAAAAATTTCTCAGAACCTGAATCCTCCTATCTGGCTAAAAAACATAAATGAAGTTTAATAAAGTTTATTTTGAATCATATATTTTATAGTCAATAAGTCTAATATAAAACTCTCTTCAGATAATCAGCTTTCATATATTTACTTTTTTGAAACTTTAACTTGAAATATTTTTTTACTTTTAATAATAATAGATAATAGATTACAAATGGATGAACTCAAAGTTAAAATTAGAAAACCATTTTCACTGACAATAATAAAAATGAATAAATAACTTGATTAAAATAAGCAAAGTATTAAATTATGTAATCATAATAATATAATTAGTTAATTATATAATGATGTAATTAATTTTAACCATATTTAGAATATAAGATAAAGAACAGAATACTAAAAGAAAACAGAAAAAAGAATACAGATAGAATTACAATTAGGATCTAGCAAAAAAGTTTGGATTAACCAATTTATGTTATAGCTTAACATATATTAGTATAAATATAGGAGATTTTGAAACAAGTTTGAGAAGAAATTTTAAGGTTAATTGAACTTAATTTTTATTAATTATATTTATATTTTAATAAAATTACCTTTAAATAAAATTAAAATCTGTTATTTTTAAAAAATCAACAATTAAAAATTAAGCTTAGTATTTAAAAAGAAAAAATAGGCTTAGTCTAATTTTAAATACATTTATTAACCTATATCTTACTAATCAATATCTCTAAAAATAATATATTTTGTGTTAAATAAACCAAATATTGTATTGATATAAGATTTAAAAAAAGTTATATAGTTTTTATTTTTAAAGAAACTTAAAATATATTATAACAATACTATTCTGAATTTATATCAGATCTTTTTATTTATAACTTTCTTTATATCACACAAATTATAAACTTTAAAAAAGATTACCTAATAAATTAATTATAACACTTTTTTTATTTTTGATGATCAATTCTTAATTTCTAAATAATCAATATTATAAACTCTCAATAGTGAGACACTTTCTTTTCTAATTAAATGTTTAAACCTAAAACTAATTTTTTTTCATATATCTGTTTCCAATTAGAAACACAGATTATATCTAAATAATTCACTTATGCATCAAGGAATCTATAATGATATAATAAAAATAATTATCAATGTTAATCCTGTAGAAGAATTATTTAAATTGCATTTTTTATTAAAGAATCAATAATTAACATCAATATTTATATACAAACCTATTACTTCTAACTGAATAAAAAAAAGTTCTTATAACTCTCACTATACCAAATTTTCTTTACAGAATTCTTTTACTTTCATTATCATAAAACTCAAAGATTAATTTTACCTAAAGTATTTTTCACCTTAAACAGAAACATATTTTTAACTAGAAAACTTATGTTACTCTTAATAAATACTTTATTTGAAAAAATGTCAACATATTTATCTTAACGCTTAGCCTTTATAATTGATTATCAAAAACTAAAAGAAATCTCATAAAAAGCCCTCAATAATTTTTTTAAACCTTTTATCTTATTTTCAAAATTTCAAAAGAAATTCTTTTTTACTATTTCCTATAATGTTACATTCAACTTTCTAAGAATAGTAATAACCTACATATCAAATTCATTTAAATATGAAATTGGTGAAGTAATGTAACTACTGAACTGGCTAATTTGAATCCTATAATATCATTATAAGCAAAACTAAACGGTGATACAGATGAAATTTAAAAATAAAAAATCATCTGTTATCCTACAACAGTAACAAAATAGAGTAAATACATTTTGCATACTACAAGAGGACAGACAAATATATAGAAAAATTCATACATATAATGCTAGCTCAAAAACATCTCAATTAATAAATTAAGCATTTAATAGATTCATTAACTTGTTTTTATGGAATATTTAATCGTAATTTTATTTAAAATTCAAAATCAAAAAAAATTTATATAAAAAATTTCAAAGTTAAATAAGATATTTAAAGTGATTGAGATCGTCATAACGTCCATGGAACTTTCGCAAAAAAAAAAAAAAAAAAAAAAAATTATGGATTTTACATTTTTTTTATTAATTGTGACGAGGGCTGGCATGGGGTACCCGTTATGTACCCGATTCCTTCTTTGTCTTTTA